TTTACAAATTGTTTATAATAGACTTATAGGACATTATTAAATTTTTTTTAGAAAAGATATTATTTACAGAAAAATAATTCTGATTATTTTTTTTCTATATTTAATAGGCATCTTGTTTACACATATATATGTGGTAAAATAATATGTGTTTTATTATGTAGAACGCAAGAAAACATGACACATTTAGATCTTAACTCTAAAGTAACTAGGTAACTCTGATAATATATCTTATAAAACTCTTGTTTTTATTGCCCTTATCGTTAAACATCCGAAATTTATATAAATGTTGAATATAATAGTCAGTATTTATTTATAGGTCATTTGTACTTTAACGATTTATTTGAATTGATTAATTAATGAGCTAATGAATTCGCGCAATTTATTATGCCATTCAAATAATCTTTAACATTAAATTAATTAAAATAAATAAATTATATTACATTCTTTGTCTTACATATTCACTAATTTTAACATTTTATACATTACGTGCGTTTTAAAATTATAACTCACGCAGCCACTTATTAGATAAAGACAATTTGATATAAAACGCGATACAATCAATTATATATATAACAAGATATACTAAGATAAAGAGATGAAAGGACTTTGATAATTAATGCGTACTTAGTACATTTTCGTGTCATCGGAAATTCTCTTCGAAATGGATATTCTTGTTTCGCATAAATTACTTCTGTTTCTGGAATGCGCGCAGTTTAATTCATAATGCTTTTCGAGTCCCCTTTGCATTCTATTCTTAATGTGCCGCGAGTATTCCCTGGGAAATTAATTTTCTCGTAATTAGTGAGAGTGACGCAGCTTTTGCAAACTGAAGTGTGGTCGCGACGTGCATGCTGGTTGTCTCGTAGGACACAATAGGGATAGGGATTATATTTAACATGGTATTAACATGGTATTAATTAGAAAAATGTCCATCTAACGAATATTTGGAATATTAAAACATTAACAAAGAGTTGAATTATAGAATCTAATTGCTGTAGGTAGAATATCAATTAATAAATAAGTGACATTAGCCATAAATAACAATGGCTTCATATGCATCACATGAAAGTTACGTTGAAACTTAAAAATACATGTAATATGTGTTGTAGATTTACATTCTTTTTTCAACCATCTTTCGTCTATCTTTCTTCTATCTTTCATTTTGGGATAAATTTAAGATAATTAAGATATCCATAACAAAGATTTAATTCAATTCAACCGCATATTTTCATCACATTATTTTTATGTGCATACATTATTTTTCTCATTTATTCATTTTACGGTATTTTAAGAGGTCAATTTGTAGTTTCCGCTTTTCCATAATAAATTCATAAGATTCTTGGTTTTTTCCCTTGGAGAACTAAAGCGTATCTCAATTTGCACAAATTTCACTTCTTAGCATTTATATATATTTTATAACATTCGTAACATTAATTGTCTAGATATTAACGTATATATGTTAAAATATCTCAGACCTACTGAACTCGTTCAAAGCGAACTGTTACATAAGAGTTACGAGAAACGCTGGCACATTTTGTGACTTCACATGCAAATTAATTCATACATTTATCATCTTTTTTTTTTAATAAAAATGCCAAGGCAAATATTCAACAGCAAAATAAATTCATTTCGACTTAGTACATGTACTTTAATGTAGGAAATGAGCAAACTACATTTTGAAGTTACACGATGTCTACATACGGACATACCTATATGTTTGCCGAAAGTAAAGATATGCTTGGTTTGCTTTTATCACATACATAAGTATTTGAGTAGAGGAATGTAATTTTACTTCGTAAAGATCTGTGAAAGAATGCGTATTTTAATAAATCAATTTTATTCCTTCTTTCATTTTGATTTCAATTTTTATCATGTTACGTTCAGAAATTGTGCAAAAGACGCGTGTAACGCGAACAATACATGAAACATTACGAAGGTATGTGCTCCCGTTTATAACTTGCAATATACTCGCTCGTGATATAGCATCGAGGAGAAAGCAGATACGAAATTTTCATCTTCAAAAGCTCGGCAGAACAATATTATGACACCTCGTGCGCTCGACGAAGCATACGAACAATTTTTTAATAGCAATATATTGTCACATCGAGGAACGTTATTCTGCAACTATCGATACGTTCAAAAAAAAAAAAAAAAACACCGTGTTCAGAACGCGTTGCGCTATGGGAAAGTCGCGGACAGTCAATATTTATCTTCTCTTGAACGATACTACAGAAATTAATATCGATCTGATATTTAATGATATTGTGATAGAGGAACAAATTTATGTCTTGTAAATATTTATTTCGTACATACAGAGATATTCACTCACTAATATAGATATGTTAAAAGAAAATAGGTATAACGTTACAACAATCTATTTTTTTTTTGCGAGTAAGTATATTTATTTGTCATACTTGGGATAACTGCGGCTCGCAATTAGTTTCAAGATAAAAAAAAACTCATCAAAACTTTTTTTTATAAATAAATAAGACTTTTATAAATAAGACTTTCGGTTATCTGTTCTATATACTTAATAGGGCAATATTTCGTTTCCGTCTTACATATCTCGGTTAAAAATAATGGTCATTATAGATGAAGAGGACTGCAGGCAAGTCGATATTTTGGTGGCAAATTACAAACGACTATAATATAATTTGATTGTAATAATAAATTAACTTATCCCTCGACATGAAGAAACGAGCGGCTAGACTTCCCGCTGGAGTTGAAGCGTTTGGATGGATTACGAGGGGAAAACTTCTCGTTCCACCGCATCTAACAATTATGTCCTTCCTCCCCCTTTATAAAAAGTTCTCTGCCGTACCGCAAATTTGTAACGTGTGCTTTTGCAATCATGACGGCGAATGTACGACGAATACAAATTTCCGAGGGTGACGTGACGCATTACTGAAATTCTTATCTATATATTAACGAAACCGTATTGACGACGGTATCGATCTGTTAGTGATTCAACACACATGGATGTAATTTGTGAAAGGGACCACTTCTCTTTATTGGACACTTACGTTACGTACAAAGCGACGTGATTAATAATAATAATAATAATAATAATAACGTTTTATAACGTATGACGCGGAGTATCCAAATCAAATAGTGTGTTTATATTAATGATGTAATTTATGTATATTTACGTAAATTATGATGACGAAAGAAGATATTTTCCCTAATGAGAGTTGGACTATATTTCCTTATTCAAATCGCCGCGCAATTTCTTCCCTGATAAGATCGTATTAAGTATCATTAAGTATCATTTATATTAAGGAGCTCTTCTTCGTTTTAAGAATAAGCTTTCCCAAATTATATTTGAGTATTCCTTGATTTATCCCTAATTCAGCACTCGTGTACACGTGTCAAAAAACAATTTTGAAGTAAAAATTTAGCTAAATATAGATTTGAAAATAATTTTGTTATACTCCAAAATAATTATACAATCAGATTAGTTACTTGAATGTCAAAATTTATTGCAGCATTGCTCATCGTACTTGAGTTTTTACATATTTTGATGATCCAAAACTATTTTCAGATTTGTATCTACTTAAATTTTTAAATATTTTTAACAAAATCATTTTTTTCACATAGATATACATTTAATCAATGTAATATAATATATGGTAGCTTCTTTATTTTATATTAAATTAACGACCATATTATGCGATCATATTTTTATGATAGTATTATGTATCTCGACAATTATACTTTCGATTCAGTATATTCTTTGCACTCTATCTTTGTGTGTGGAAAGAACGATTTTTGCGGAAATATTTAAAAATTTAACTAAATACACACACACACAGATTTAAAAATAATATTGTTAAATTATTAAAATCATTTACACAAATTAAATCATTCTTATCATAAGGTTTTATATTTTATGACAGTTCGCACATCACTGCTCAAAGGCATTCATCGTGCAGCTTAAATATTCTCTTTGGCTTCAATTTACGCGGCATCGGCGAATAATATGCCCAATTAACTGGATTTTCACAAGCAATTAATTAATTAGCGTCCTTTCACGGTATGTTACAGGCGGGAGCTCTGCCGAGACCCCTAGGCGCGGCGGCTGCGGGATACGACGACAACAATTAATCGGCGGAGCTGATCCAGGGACATCTTTCCGATTTGTTTCTTGATGAAAACGCGCGACCACCCTCTCTATAATATAATTTATGTATAATTCATCGTCATTACGTCTTGATCTGCGCGCGCGCGCTTTCCAAGCTGGTGGTAAGCATCCCTAAAATTCCCATGTCTCTTACTCTCTCTAAAAAGAAAAGCGTAGCTTCTTTGGTGAAAACAATTTGTGTTATCGGGCGAATGACTGATCGACGTGAAGAGAACTTCATCATTGTTTGCACGCTTGATTTGCGCGCGCGTTAATCTGAAGCGACGCGTTCCTAGAACGACGGTTTTACGGTAATCGATTCTTTCGCTGTGTACGAAATTTTGCGAGATTCATGACACTGTTCAACTTAAGAGAAACACGTTCTATAAGATCTTTCCTGTACAATTGCACTCGCCATTCTACCTCGTCGTCATTTTCATTAATTAGTGACAGCGCTGTAAAAGGACACTTGGCCTAAGTCCTTTATTCGTGGGATAAAAATCTAACAATCTAAACGCTTCGATCGTTACAATTTTCTCTTCGCAATTGTCCCTTCGTTTAATTACACGTATCGGCACAGGAATATAGAAATTACTTTACGCCCCATGCGCTAATGTTGTACAGCAGAGTGTCCCAAGACTTTCCGGGTGATTTATTAATAAATCAAAAAGTAATTTTATTTTCTTTGGAAAAAAATTAAAACATTACTTGTTTTAATTGTCGATTTAATATTTCGGCTAGTAATTTATTTTTATTAATATAATTAAACTGATTAATTAATTAAAGTATAGATTCTCTTGTGTTCATTTACGCTTCAACTTTTTATTAGAGCTTTTTCTCATTTTTCTTAAATTATTATTACATAATAATTTTATAATTAGATCTTCACTAAATATTTCTTTGAAAAGACAAAGAGAAAATAGTAAATCTGACCTGGAAGATTGTTTCATAATTCTGGGACATCGTATAATTTTCAACAGCTGGCCTGTTGGTCCATCGATCGATTAATAGGCGTAGTCTCACGATAAATGTGCCAAATAATATGATGGTTGTATTATAAAAAGAAAAAAAGATCTGCATTATCTCTATGACGTATATATAGAAGAGGCTGTAACAATTTAACAATTTCATGCGTAATGGGGATCGATTGAAACTTTGATGCAAAATGCGCAAACTATATTATCCAATATTAATTATATTCGCCACAGAAAGAGGGTCGCGTCTCAAATATATCGATATGTCAATTTACAAAATTAAAAATAAATTATTATGTAACACTGTGTCACATTTATTCCTCTGAAGCAAATGTGTTCTACAAAATTCTTGATTTCCCATGTAAGTCCCGCGGCAGAATGTTTTCCGCAAATATTACTCCGTGAATGCATCTACGAATGAAATTACTGGTAACATATAATTGCATTAGTTATATTAATGAAATAATAGAAGTTAGACTCTCTTCGACGTAGTAAAGTTTTGACGTTTATGGTGGCAGCTAATCTAAATAAAGGGGAAAGAATTAGGAAAGAACGAGAAAACGCTTAATTCATGTCGCTAAAAGGATTTTCTCATCTTCCAGGCAGATTAAAAGTCCGATAAAACTTTCAAAAAATAGACCTTAATAAAATTGGAATAGAAAACTTTCGATACTAAAGAAGTAATTCGCATGAACTTTTTCACGAGAGGAAATTGACGACTATTTACTTTCAGATGCATTATATAAAATGCAAAAGATGCAACCTACACTTTACTGCAAAACATCTTATCAAAAGCAACTGTAAACGTAAAAAAAGTATCATAGGAAAAAGCATCTTTCTGTATTATTTCGAAGATCTGTTTTATTCGGTAGACATATCTACATATTAATTACAGGGTTAAAATTCAAGCATATTGAATAAATTACGAGAGAGATATTACTCGCTACGTGTGCAGATGACTTATTTAAAACGTGCTGACCTGACGAACGAGCAAATCCTTTTGATAGATTGCGCCACTTCTTTATCTTCATGGCTCAGATCTCCAATGTTTTTAAATTCCGGTCTTAGGAGAACTTGACTTCGTACACGCTCCAAAGTAATCGATAGAGGCATTGTTAATATCCTTGACCAATTTGTTGCCTCGTAATTAGTCATAAACTGAAATATACGATTTATTCGCAATGCGTGTGCTAATTATAGACACAGTTGAATTCGGATCAAAGATCCATAAACAGGAAGAAAGATTTTGCTGAAGTAAAAATTAAAAAATTAAAAATTTAGCTAAATCTGAAAATAATTTTGTTTAGATTATCAAAATAATTATATAAGATGCTTAAACTAGATGTTAAAATGTTAAAATTTTTTGTAGCATTGTCATCAACATTGAAACGTTCTACATAATTATTTTAATAATTTAATAAAATAATTATTTTTATATCTGTCAGATTTGCTAGCTAAATTTTTAGATGCTTCAGCAAAATCTCTTTCCATGTAGCTATCACTGAGGGGCGTGTAACTCTAATCACTAACTTGATCAAACCATGTGTCCTCAATATGAAACATTATATGTGTGAGAGGTTTCACGATGGGCGAGACTTCAGGTAGATTAATCAAATCTACCTGCCTGCTTTCCTCGCTGCGACGTAAATTACTTAATACCCAGTCGGACGCTCGAACTAGATATTCGTATGCAATCTGCGTACATAAACATCATTCATAAACCTTATGCATCCGTTTCTCATGCGGCAAACGAACATTTCTAATTCTTTACTCACTTTTAAAGAACGTCGTCCGATATTCGTGAATAACAATTCGTCCGTGTAAGTCTCGATGACGCAAGCCATGTTTTGTAATTCACCATTTCTCGGATTCTGATGTTCTCTTCTAAGGCTGTAATAAATTTCCTTTCTTTTTTTTCCACTTAGATAAAATAAAATTTTTTTAAAATATATAAGATTATTATAATCGACATTAAATTAGATTAAATATAATCAAGTTATTGGAATAATTACGCTAGTTTCAATTATATCTTGCATTAATAAATTTCGTTTTATAGAAATTTTATTAATTGTTAAGTTTAAGAAAACTAAAGTTTCATATAGTATAATGCACAGTTTATATTCCTTGTAAACATAAGCTCGTAACAACGTTATGAAATTATATGTGACACAATACAGTTTTTATCTCATATTTATTCCGAGCGCGAGTTATATTTATGTATAAATAAATAAATCAGGAATAATCCAACGCAAAGCTGTAATACAATTCAAAATTCAAGCTGTAAATATAATTCATGATAATGTGTATTATTATGCATTTATTTGAATATAGAACATGACACATAACAATAACATATAACAAATGTTAATCCCAAATCCATCTTTTAACATTTTATAACATCTTTTAAATTAAAAACGCATGATATACTCCGCATTCAACACATTCTTAATTCTAGTAGTACAGACAAATCTAGCACTTTGAGCAATAAACTTTTTCTAAGAAGTTATTAAATTCTATACTTCTTTTATATCTCCAGTGGTGAATTATTGTGGAGAATCATATTATAAAGAATTATTTGTGGAGATAATTATAAACGCAATTTATAACATCACGATAGAAAATTGTTAGTTTATAAAAATCATATCAGTATTACTGTTATCCTACAATTAGGGATAATATAATTATGAAATAACTCACCTACCTATCTTTTACAAGAAGCAAGAAGGAGTCTATCTGCGATGTATGTTTATTGTCCTCGTCGATGCTGCAAATTGCTTCAGCAAGTGCCGTTGCGGCGGTAGATCTATCGTATGGATTGAAGGGACTCAGCTCGCAGTACGTGTCTCCGGAACTCGGTGTATCATGGGGCTCGTTCTTGCTCTTTGCAGACATATCCAGGAGGGTGGAATATAGAGCAGCGCATAATACCTGGAGCAACACGTTGCCACCGATCGGCCGACAGTGCGCTGGGATGTTGTCGTTTAACGCGAACGCGGCACGTAAAACTGGAGTCGAGGAGGTCACGTACAACTCGGCGAAACAGCCAATCGCAAGGGACATGGCTTGATATATACTGGCACCTGTCTAAAAATAAAAATTTAAATAAGAATAAAAATTAAAATTAAAAAAATTTTTTTTTATTCTAACGCTATAATTCTCATAACAATATTAAACTTCACAATTTATTTTGCATCTCTTATGACACCGTAGTGACGTCTTGATATTATTTGGAATTTTAACAAATGATTAAAAAAAATTAAACATTCGTTATAAAAAAAAACAAATATAATTATATTCTTCCCACACGTCGAATCACATCGCGTAAACATTATTATTGTATGGTGATTACTTTCGCGGCTTCTAAAAGAGCTTCAGTCACAGGCTGCATCATGATCTTCAACGGCTTTATCAGCGCATTGAGCCAAGGTGGCCGCGATTGATTCCAGACCTTTAAAACGATAAATAAATTATAATTTTACATTTACATTGATGTAAGTGTAAAATCAATGTGAGCGTAATATTCAACACTTTTGTAAATTAAAGTAAAATAGAATATTTAAAAGTTTGATAAAGAGAACACAAATTGTAGATACAACAATATTAAAATTATTTTCATGTCAAAAAAATGTCTCTGTCTCATATAAAGATGAATAATATTTTAAAAAATTGTATTTAATTTTAAAAGATCTTTTTAATATTATTTATATAATATGTATAAGGAATTTAAGACAGATATTTTTCTATATAAATAAATCATTTCGGAATGTTAAATGTCACTTTTAGAATATCCCGATTTTATATTATTTTCTATATACATAATACATACTATACATAAAATAATTTCTGTTAATTTTCGTTAAAAATAAATTAAAATAAAAATGCAAATTCTTGTCATATAAACCTCATGCATATATACTAGTATATATTGTGCAAACTGTATTTTAATGAGAATTAATAATAAATTTATACAATTAACTCTTCAAACGATATTTCGTAAAAGCATACGACCTGCTGTCTGTCCAAATAATTGGACCAATTCGGATCTTGCTTCAGTGCTGGTATAATTACGTGCTCCGGTTCGTTAACAGTTACCACCAATATGTGAAATAAGCTGTATAATACCAGAGCCGAAGTTATTTTTAGCGTTTTGTCACACGCCGAATTACTGCATAAAAAGCCGCTACAACTTCTTTCGCCTGTCTTCGATTTTTCAGCTGCGTCACTGTCGTCTACGCACGTAACGCCTACGTTTTGACGTACTAAGGTCTTCAGCAACATCTTTGCCACAACGTAATTACTCATCGATATCACCTGCAAAGAGAAGATTTCACAGAAATAATAAAATGAATAGCTTCGTTAAGACATCGTGTTAGTAATCACCTTCATCAATTGAGGCCAGTTAGGTTGAGGCTGATGTCTTAAAACATTCAACTCAAGAATGACAGCTTTATCCTCGGATAATGTTATAATGTCAGCTGGAGAATTAATTGCATCTAATCCTAATAAATTTGGAGCGCATATCAATAGCCAAGGTGCAGGACCTCGTCGAGGACGCAATATCGCCAAATTTTCCAATCCATGTCGGAAAACCTAAATAACAATTGTTAAAAACAGTTGTTTTTAATATATACAAGAGGAATTTTTTTAATTGTAAGTTTCAATAAATGAACAATATTTCTCTTTTTACGCAAAATTTTGTACAATCTTAATAACGTTGGTACACGTTATTTTAATAAATTTATTCAAGTAACTTATTCATTGAAAATAGTGTTTCTCTTTATATCCAGCTTATTGAAACAGTCCCAAATATTCAACATTATGATATATTAAAATATTCAGAAATACCTGATACAATTCTTTAAGAGGAGTGCCTCTAAGTAGCAAGCAGATTAACAGTTCATTACATTTTGCGTGTATATCTCTTATTGCTGTCGGCAAATTATTCGGACGTACACCAATCATTCCATCACTATCAACACATGCGCCTAAAGCGAGATAGCCCGTACAGCAAAGTGCATTAAAGGCATCCGACCAAAATTGTTCGAATCGTGCCAGTGTCGGTCGTCCCTGTCACAATTTCATTTTTATCTCCAATTTCCATTTCGGTTACTTACGCAGACTATACTCAAACATTGCGCTTCAATAAATCGCGGAATGCATAATACAATAAATAAATAAATCATGTAAAAGAGCAGAAATGAACATAAATTGATTTTACGATTGATCGAATATAAAATTCGCGTTGGTGGTTTACGATAACAATAAAATATTCAATGGAGATAAATGACACGAAACAAATTGGAAGATAAATCGCAACTAGTCGTGAAATATCTCGTGAACTTACGTGAATGAATCGCGTAGTTATGATAGACAGAGACTCATTTAGCATCTCTGAAAATACGCGCTGTGCCATCTTAGGCGATACTGTGTTCCATAAATCCGCCTTAGTACCTAGAAATATTAACATATCGTTTTTGCAAAACGTTACTTCGCGGAACGTCATAAATTTATTTTCATGGAATATCAGAAGAAATTATATCATGAAAAATGAGTCGAGTGCTTTACCTTGCATGTACAGCCACCACATTTGTATAACATAAGAGCATCGCTCTCTTTCGAAGAATGGTTTGTTGCTGTGCCAACTGAGAGAATCCGCCTCATTAAGAATGTATAAGGAAATTAATCGACAGTGCAGATCGAGCAATCTCTCTGCTACAGCTTCGGCCATTTCGTGGAACGCTTTATGAGACTTATTAATTTTTTCGCTATTAGAAGAAAAAGCGATAAGAGAGTCAAATAAAATCGTGTATAAAAGTACAAGTTACTCGACTTTAAGCATAAGAAGAATTAATATAAATGATTAAAAGTTATTAAATTTGCTTTCGTATTAAATTTTAAACATAACAAAATCAAGAAAGAGAAAGTATTTTATAAATTTAATAGTAGATACAATAAGAAGTATAAAATATAATATATTAATTTTAAGAATTAAAGAATTAAATTAAATGTTTTTTTGCTGATATTATTTTTTGCAATATTATTCCTTTAAAGTAATAAATCAATGTTTTTTTATTTCTATCTATTATTGTTATACATATATTCATTTATAGTAAAATCATTTATACGCGAGATCAATATTTTAATTTTATACGCAAGATTGTATTTTATAAATCGTGACAAATATGATAGAAAAATGACATAAAAATGTTAATTTTTATATGACTGGGAAAACTATCTAAAATCTATTTTATGTAGCTATCCTTGGAGAAAAATTTTGGAATGTAATAAATTGAGATAAAAAATTACAAAATATAATGAATGTAGCTTTTTTAATATAAAGCACCTTGACTGAGAAGAGATTGTTCCTTTTGCGTGCTGATTATAACACCATAAGCAATTACGTATCAATGCCGCCGCACCTAGAGTAGCGGTGAGCACAGTAAGATCAGCGTGATCCAAAGATTCTTGGATCAACATGTGTAGATGTTCTAAAAGAATAAAAGTTTTAGAGTACTGTACTCACTTGTTCTGTTCAAATACTTTAATTTAAGTCCAAATTGTGCTATTATAAAAAAATTATTCAAAACGCAACTTCCTTGCAGAGATGATTTATTTAATTAACTTAGTGTCAAATTTCTCTAATTTAATCCAATGATGAATTACTCAGCACATATCTAGTTGTTAGTGCACACATCTATTTGTCATTTTACGTTAAAATGACATATATAACGACATGGATATTTTTTAACTAAATGTTAAAATTTTTCTTTAAAAAAATTCGATACTAAGTTAATTAAATAATCCGCTAGTGATCCCTGCTTTTTTAAATCTTATTTTCCTTACTTTAATGCCAATTAAAAAAAAAATTTAGTAAATTAAACATCCAAAACATAAAATATATATTTTTCATACAATTTATAATAGTTTCTAAAAGTAAATCATTTTGTTATTTAATTCTTAATTATTAGAATATTAATATAAATATTAAAAATTTGAAACGTTTTTTTCTAAAAATAAATTTTTGTAATGATATAATTTTGATTTTATAAATTGATTTTATAATATGTCAATGTTTTTTTATAATATATCAATGTTTCATATGTATGTGTTATTAAATTCTAATAATATTTTTATATACTGTAAAAGAAAATCTTTCTAAAAATACAATATTATTTTAAACGATTTTTAATTTATTTAGGATTTAGAATAAAATTCTGTTTATAATTTTATGTGTCATATAATATGAAAAAGATTTAAAGAATTGTTACATGTAATGTGAGCATTTGTAACTGCAACAATATAATTTTTATTTATAATTAATTAAATTTTATGCAGCTTTTATACAATTTTCTGATAGCTAATATTTTTTTCTCTTATTTTCTCAAGCACATGTCTGTCATCCTCAAACATCTCCTTGTAGTTCTTACTTTCTTAATTATTTGAGATAAAATTATTTATGTAGTCACACATTTACATTTCTCATAACAAATTAAAATTTACATTATGAAATGTAATTAAATGTTAGGAAAATATTAAATTTATAATTAATTATTCCTTTTCTTTTACGAGCAATTTTTCTCAATTTTCTTTTGCAATTCTTTTATCTTTTTATATAGTTATTTCATCATAATATAATATTACATCATCTGTTTATATTTCTTATCGGGAGTCAGGAGGAAGTGTACCTAACAGTTGCTCAGCGGTGTCAACAACAAGCATGATAAAATCGGATGGCTGGATCCGTTTAATGACACCATCTTCGCTATCGACACTGGACAAGCTTTCATTCCCGGAGGAACTCAAACCGGAAGGCCGCTTAAAAGCGGCCATAAAGTCCGCTTCCCACCATGTAACGATCTTAATCGCGGCAAACGAGGCATGCCGTGGAAAATCTAGTCTTCCGCCACTGATGCGTATACAGAGGGGTTCTCTCAAAACAGTTTGCATCTCCTGCATCGGAAAACGCGATATAGGCTACATGAGTATTAAATTTATTTATAAATTTATTTATAAATTACATCATTGAGCATCAGGATTAACTCTATTTAGGCTGGTATTCATAGTCGATTCTTATATTTAAGACTATCTTAAATACTTAAGATGTCATGAAGCAGAGAGGATTAGCATCTTAAGACATTACTTAAGATGATCTTAAAATTAAAAAAATAGATTATAAATACCGGCCTTAAAATAATTCCCAATTTTAAATATATTATTACATTTTGATTTAAAATTAATGTCGTGCACGCCTGTTGTGCGAAATAATGACATGTGATAATGACAAATAAATGAATTACTCGATTTGCATATGTATCTATGCGTATATAACGTGCAGCGATTCTCTAGTTTCGAGAACAAGGCCGATAAATCAATCCTTCCTTGTAATTAAATCACGTCGTGCTACACGGCAAACGGAGTAATTTCGAAACAACGCGCTTTCGATGTATCGTTTTACGCCGCTCGGAAACCATGGATGTAATCTACGCGCTAAAAGCATTGAAGCTGATATCAAGCTGTCGCGAAAATCGATGTGACAAATTTCATTAAATCACTCACAAACTGCAACATAGAAATTGCATTAATGGCACAAATGATTTATCATCTAATTGGTACCTGGTAATATTCCATATCCCGTTGTAACAAAATTCTTACGCGATCGACCAAATTCCCATCTTCCATGATCTCCATTTTTGGTCTCTGTCGAATAATAGAAGACAATTATGCTTGGACGATCTAATTTAATTGATTTCATTATAATTTTGCTTGTGCACAAGCAAATTCTACGTGTAGTAAATAAAACTGAAATAAAAAGCGACCTTTCGATGTAACGTAGACTTGTCGTTTACGTTTTAAAAATTAAAAATAATAGATTCTGATTCTATCTTAAAAATTTCAATCAATTAATTAATAATTCAACGAAAATTGACGCATATAAACTGAATTGTTGAAGATAAACTTCAGCTCACTCTCTTACTTTTTTGCTCTTACTCTTGTACTCATCTATTAGATAAATTATCACAAATAATTTATCCGGAGATGAAGCAACTGATCCTTAAACAAATTTTAAAGTAAAATAATAACATCTGGCTCACAAATTAAAGACAATATGAATTTGTTCAAAAATACTATTCGATTTATTTCTCTCAGTAATCAATTTCATTAGGCACAAATCTCAAATTCATTAAACAATCTAATTAATTAATTGGAATCACTCTCATAAAAAATATAATGATAACACGCACACACACGCGCACATGCACACGCACACGTACTCTATGCTGTGTTTATTACAAACATATTTAGTATTTACAATATAAAACGAAAATATATCAAAACTATCAATTTAAAATATGAATCATTTGTGAATAATGTGAGTGTGTAAGTTGTCTTCGAAAAGGGATTACAATGCAATATACATATATATGACTTTTGCTATCTTTAAAGATAAAAAATATAATAAAAGAATTGACAGGTTCCAGAGAATAAATCCAAGAATGATAAGAGCCGAACACTGGATTTTACGCGTGTAATTTACTCATTCAATACATAATATACAATAGTTACGTTTCGATCCTATTGCGGATCCTTCTCAATATCGCAAAACATATTAAAATACAATTAAAAATTATTGATCAAATACAAATTGAAATTAAAAAACCGAATTATGCGACATGTGACCGCGTCTTGTGAGATATAGACGTAAGGAAATTATGATGTCCAAGCGTATTTTCAAAATAATAGGCATTATCATTCTTGGATGAAAAATACACTCTTGTAAGCGATATCAAGCACATCATTATATACCGATATATTTTAACATATATATATATATA